AATCACAAATATGGCGAACTCGGTGCACTGCATGACGAGGGTCTTGAGAAAATAATTGGAAAAGAATCGTTTCTGCAATGCACAGGAAGTGGCAGAGCTTTTCCAGTGTTATCAGAGCACAATGGTCGTTATTCAAATCGCTTTCAATATAGACAAGTTCGTGTTCGTTTGAAGTCCCTGTGTCTCCAATCGAAGGTTTTGCCTGACCGACGTCGCTGTTGTTCCAAAGTTCTACACGGGATCGGACCATCGTCTCCTCCGCGCAAGATTCCACTTCTCGATGCGTGTTGAGAGAGCAGCAAAGTTCAGGAAGCGAAGCCCCAGGACAGTCATCAACTGGGACCACTTCGCTTCCCTCGTCAGCTTATGGGAGGATTCCGTCATCGAAAACATCGACGAGGAGTACTATCGGCTCGTTGAACATCTTCACGATTGTGGCAAGAAGGCAGAGAGTTTGAAAGTCACCAAGGGACGTCTGTCTCCGGAAACTCTCGAACTGATACGCCAGCGTGGAGCCGCACGAGCTGCAGGCAATCACCAACTCACGTCCGAGCTTGCGAAGCTATGCAGAGAGGCGATAAAGGAAGATCTCAAGGAGCGAAGAGCAGCAGTATTAGCTGAAGCAGCAGAGGCTGGGAGGAGCATCCGCAATGCCCGCCGAAGCTTTGCCAGCTACAAGACCAAGATGACCTGCCTCCGACGTCCGGATGGAACAGTTACTGCATCCCGAAGGGCAATGGAGAAAGTCATCCACGACTTCTACTCGGATCTCTTCGATAGCCATGTCCATCTGCCTACTTATCAACCGCAAGAGGATGGATACGTTGTCCCTTCAGTTCTCTCTTCCGAAGTCCGACACGCCATCAAGTCGGTGAAGAATCGTACAGCACCCGGTCTCGACAGGGTCAAACCGGAACATCTGAAGAATGCGCCGCCAGTTATCATCAAAACTCTGGCTCGACTCTTCACGCGCTACCTGTCGGAATGCAAGGTACCCACTCCGTGGAAAACCAGCAGGACCGTGTTGCTGTACAAGAAGGGAGACTTGGACGACATTGGCAACTATCGCCCAATCTGCCTGCTGTCTGTAATCTACAAGCTATTCACTCGAGTCATCCTTAACAGGATCGGCAGAATACTAGATGAAGGACAGCCATGCGAGCAAGCAGGGTTCCGAAGAGGGTTCAGCACGATCGACCATATCCACACGGTTACGAGACTCATTGAAGTTTCACGGGAGTACAAGATGCCGCTTTGTCTCACATTCATCGACTTGAAGAAGGCCTTCGACTCTGTGGAGACAGAAGCGGTCATCGAAGCCTTGGGCAACCAGGGCGTCCCTACTCAGTACATCAAGATTCTTCGTGAGCTCTACAGCAACTTTTACGACCAGGATCTCACCATTCTACAAGGAGGTCATCATCGACGTCAAGAGAGGGGTCCGACAGGGCGACACCATCTCGCCCAAACTCTTCAGCGCCGCTCTCGAGAACGTCATGCGTCAACTGGAATGGGAAGACATGGGAGTGAAGGTCGACGGCCGGCAACTACACCACCTTCGTTTTGCTGACGACATCGTTCTTATAACGCCGAACATCGAGCAAGCGGAGCGAATGCTGGCTGATTTCGACTGCGCCTGTGGTAAGGTTGGTCTACAGCTGAACCTAACGAAGACGATGTTTATGAGAAACGCGGCATTGATTTCTGATGCACCCATAGTCAACGCTCAACGGACACACAGCATCACGAAATGCCTCAAGCTACGTCTGTCCTAGGTCAGGGGCACATATATGAAATGAACGTCTAGCTCCAGAGGCGATGAGCCCAGGAGGAATACGACGCGGGCTTGGGGAGCGTACAAGAACATCGAGGAAGAGTAGTGAAGAAGACGAAGAACATCCGGCTCCGTGCCCACCTCTTCGATTCCGCTGTCCTTCCTGCCCTAACCTACGCCTCAGAGACTTGGACTCTGCGCAGGCAGGACGAGCATGCGGTCAGCGTTATCCAACGCGCTGTCGAGAGGACGATGCTAGGAGTAACCCTATACACGCAAGTGCAGAGGGGAATCCGGAGTTCGGAACTACGCCAACGATCGAAGATCAGGGACGCCTGCCGTTTTCGCCAAGGAATCGAAGATAAGGTGGGCCGGACACGATCATGACGATTTGCCAAGGATGAGACCCGATATGGACCAAGAGCGAGTTACCGACTAGCGCATCCTCGGCGAACAGAGAGACAAGGATAAGAGATGGATGATTTCGCGAATCAACCAGCAACAACCAGCACTTAGAAGACATAAGAGATTTTGCAATGACAGATTTTGAATCTTCCAGTCCGATCGACTCGTTGACCAGGCACAATGGTTAAGCGCATTAGAAGGACATGGGATCCCACGTAGGCCACATACGGAAGCACTGCTCGCTCGGACGCGTAGAACCAAGGATACCAGCCTACGCCAACACCGCAAACTGGGGTTGGACCTTAAAGATGGTGAAGCTGCAGATGGTTCGTTTATAGAGAGCTGTAACCAAAGAATGCCACTGCAATTGGTGAAAAGTAAAATGGGCAAATGGATGGGCCAGCCGGCACTGCGCTTGGAAAGAAGTTTATTTATTTCGCACACGTGCTATTCCACGCAATCTAAGCGAAGCAAAGATAGAACAGAAAGCTCTTCCTCACCAAATTCAAACGTTGCCTGAGCTCCTTTGGTAATTTCACCATACCTAGCACCAACACCTACAACCTTGAACGTCAAACGTAAGATATCCTTAAAAAGGGTATGGGAGAATCAAGAAACCAATGACAACGAGTGAGAAAGGGATATTACGGCCACAGGATAGTATTCCGATAAAAAACTTATCAAGAGTTTTTTAGCTCAAAGCTAAAGGATGTCTAACAAAGGAAATGATAATAAAATAATTTCAACAACTGAATCATTGAAAGAGCAATGTAAGATGAACGAAGTACAGAAGATGGAACGCAAATTATAATTTCCATTGATTGATGATCGTGCACAAGGCCCGAGGGAAAAAAAACAAACAGAAAAAAAAACTGACAAATCACGCAAAGACTAAATCCTCAGAAAAACCATATAACAGACTTACTAATACAACATAGCAATGCTAGATTGAACGCATAAGATAACATCTGATCACTATGATTTCTAACAAGAACCACATACATGCACCAAGTACTAAACACGACATCGGTCAATTAAACGCACCTACAATGTTACACCATTGCTGAGAGCCTCGGCAGCTAATTAGAGTGCCAATAATGCTAAATTAGTTCCTGCGCACGCGAATAATAAATAGTCGGACCTAGTATATTAGGCTCGGCTCGGACATTTTCGGAGCACTTCGCCTTAACTGACTAAGAGGCCTGAAAGAAAGTAGTTCAAAGTGGTTTTGAATTTTGTGGGATACCCGATCCGATCTTCCCTTCGCTAAAGGTGGATAATCACACACCCACTAACGAAGCAAAGAAACATCAACTAAAAGCACACATAACAACCAAGCACTACGTCACGAGTAAAATAAGATTGATAATTAATGTGAACTAGCCAGGCTGGAGGATACGAGTTGCTACTTAATCTTAAGACAGAGACCATTAAGAACAGGACAGTCAGACGAAGCAAACAGTTCAAAAAAAAGCGCATACACTCGCGCTCCGGAACAACACTCACTGCCGATGTCACCGTACTCCAGAAATAAGGAGCGCACGGCTCTTACATCACCGCTCAAAGCTAACAAAAGAAGAACGGACTAGAACATGTTCCCAGCTAAAAATATTCTGAACGACTGAACATCTAACAATAATTGCTTAATAATCGGAACTAATCTTAAGAGGATGAATGCTTCTTAGAGGAACACTAGCTCTGACTCTGCAACGAATGAGACTTCATTGAATTACAACGAAACCTTAACGAATAGATAGATCTACATGGTCATATCGACAGACACATTGTGACGAGCTACAGATACAACAGCATACCATAATTCCCATCGATCCGAAAAAATTCTATCACCTAAATATAATAGTCAAACAATCTGACGATGTTAGAACACACACACTAACGGAATTTATGATGATAGAATCAAATGTGCATCATCAGCAAACAGAATGCCCATATCGAGAAGTATAGGTCTAGAGACAATGTGCCCAATTAATTAACATGTAATCGCTGATGACAAGACACGAACATAATTCTTATTTGCTCGCCCACCTGTATACTTGAAAACCTTAATTATCTCGGAAACAGAATGCATAATTAACGATTCCATGTATCACATCGCTAACCGCCAATCACTGCTTTGTATAGAGAACAACATAAAGTCTCAGCTTTCAAGCCCTTAAATCCTTGGAACTACATAGCACAGCGATTGATAAGAGAATGAACCTCACTTCAAATACCAAGAGTATCTTTCATCATAGGATCATCCCATAAGCATTATATCATAATCTTGAAGCGAAGTGAGATGCAGAGAAGGTGTAGCGGCGAATAGCGCCGCCTACCGATTGCACAGTTTGAGGACCAATAGCTGGATGGTGTGGGGGCCAGGCGGACCACTTCTGCAGGGTCGGTTACTTCGTGCCAGAATTGCTTGCGAAATTAAAGACAATGGCTGGTACATTGGCTGCGTCGGCCGAATTGTTTCAAATTCAGCTAGATTTTGAATGGAAGCAGAGTGCATGGCGCAGCCTGAAACCTTGATTTCTTCGAAGCATGACACCTTTTTGAAAGAAATCACTTGAAATGCGCTAGCGACAATGGAAATCGTCATTTTGCAATTTTTCTTTTGAATGGTTCTTTGAAAATCAGGTATATCACTTGTTCATGACACTTGCACTGTTCAAGAACAGATTGAAGTAAATTTATGGAACTGAACAAAAATTGTGTCTGGAACGCCACTCCCAAAGGTTTTGTGCGGTGTTTAAGCACCTGATTACACTTGTTTTTTACAAAACAGTATTCCAACAGTCAAGATCATGAAAAAAATTCAAGATTCTTCCAAGAGACGTCGCCGTTCAGGATCCTGAAGCTCCTTCACTTGTTTCCTATACGAGAATGTTGTGCAAGCAAGGACCACGGTTGATACGACAAAGATCGCCAGAAGAAGAATTATCGATGCTAAAGCGAAATGCATCACTGTGGGCAGCGTTTTTTTGCAAATAATCATGGAATGTAACAGCAGTTAAAAAGCCACGTAGAAAAACAAACATTACAACGTCGTGCACAGTCATGATAATGAATAAAAAAGAACTACTGGTATTAGAACATTCGTCTCCTTACCTGTAACTACACTACTGTATCCAGTATGTAGCCCTACACCACGACATTGTTGTATCCATGCGTCTCGCGTCAAACGTCGTCCCTGCGAACAAACTTATCAACCAGAATTTCTGCTGAACAGATCTGCTCTTACACTTTATCAGTTAGCACATTGTATCTGTAAATTACGCCATCACTAAAGAGATTTGCTAAAGAAACATAGGAGCGTTTCAAAAGAAAGGCATAGGAAACGGTGGGCTTGGTGGCTGGCGTCCCTGAATAGGCCGAACCCATTTTCTATCTGAAAGGCCTTAACAGTCGCACGTAGGAACTTTTAAATTTTTCTGTTGACACAACTGAATCTCCATGCAAGTTTTGTGCGGTTTGTCGAGGACTCAATTGGCTTTCTTATTTCTCCGTCATCTAGAGCTAGAGGTCAAAATCCACGCCTTCCAGCTCAGGTCCTTTGCCTCGAAACCATAGCTGAAAGTGCATCAGAGACTGAGTGTTGCTGCTCAATGTTTTGCACACAATGAGTGGGATTCGTTGGCCGTTTTTCTTGCTTGAATATACAGTGCGTTTCATAACTATAAGGTCACCCTAAAATATTGCATTTCCGGAACCAGCAGCCAACTGGTGATTTTTCCACTATCACCAAATGATTCCCCACTACGAATAACCCCTGTATCGCAATTTTGGTGGGAGCAGCTTTTCTTCGAACTTTTTTGTAATTATTTTTCGATTTTTGCACCGTTTCATAATATAAGGTCACCCTGAGGAAAAGAACAATTACCTAAGATTAATGACAGATAAAAAGACATAATAATGTATGGTTCCTCCTTTATCAAGGGCAACACCGAATAGTCTCCGTGGCCTACTGGAATTGAGATTCCAAGGCAGATGACCATCGATTCACTTTCGTGTTCAGGGTTGCTTGTTTCAGCTCTTTTGAAGTTCCTAACTGGCGTTTATCCGCATATTCTTCATGACGAAGATGCCCCTGAGATATTCTACTAAAATACGACTAGAACTTCAGAATAATCTGTTCAGTTCATCAGAGTTTCGAGAGAAATGCTGCTTCTGGTTGAGTGACCTACATGGGTACCTGTGCTGTTCTGTATGACTACGTAGGCTAGCCGACTTCATCAGCTCAAGGAAGAGGTCAGATGTCCTCAAGGCTCTACTGCTAATCTTCGG